AAATAAATAAATAAATAAATAAACTAGAGGATCAGAGAGGCGATACCGCCTCTGGATATTGTACCACCAGCTGGAGTAAGTGCATTCGTATGGAAACCCGCCCCCCCCAAAAAAAAAAAAATGGACACCACCACCAGTCTTGTGTTTGACAATTAAGCTCTATAAAATGCAATAAAGAAGAGTTTTCAAAATATGCAAAAGAAAAAAAAATCGAAAAAACATAACTGTTAAAATGGTCCAATCAAGCAGATGTTCAAATTGACCTGTATTTTCCTAACACTGATCACTCCTGTGATTTTCTAGACAATAGGCCTATTGGTTTTCCTTGAAATGTGTTATCAGTATTGCATATATACTGACAAAAGAGAAAACCTAGGGACAACAGTAGGCANGCTAGCGTACACGCTGGTGGTACTAATAAATAATGATATTTTTAAATTTTTTTACTCAGTCAAAGTGGGGGGAGGGGGGGCATGCACCATGTTCAGAATGAACACAAGTGGATGTCTGGGGATGGCTACAGGAACATGGACCCTATTTCCTGATGTCAGGGAGGGAAAAAAATGGTTGGAGCCTGGTACACAAATCTTGACTGCATTGAGACAAATCATCTCCAACAAAAGATTTCAGGAACCTTGGTTACAGGCACTGCAAAACTTCTAGAACACAGTCGACATCAGAAGGATTGGGATGAGAAGATCTCCTTATTCTTTATGTCCTACCGCAGCTCACAACACGACAGCACTGGCTAAACCCCAAATCTAATGGTGTTAGTTAGAAAAATTGATTTACCGGCCTACATGTATATTGTTTCTGGATGGCCATGTTACATGAAGTAGATAATTTTAATTTGGTGATGATTTTCCACTTTTCAGTATTTACAACTAATGGGTTGCGTGAATGAAAATTTTATACCATGTGAGACTCATGAATGATTGAAAAACTTGAGTAAAAGCCTAAATAGATCCTATGAAATGGCTCGAGAAAAAAATGAAAAGTGTGCAGAAATGTCAAAAAACAGTTGTATGATGCAAAGTTGAGAGAGAGTGAATATACTTGTGGTCAGAAGGTATATTTGAGGGATGAAAGTCATAAAAAGGGAGAAAGTAAGAAACTCAGACCCTTATATAGAGGACCATATGATGTTATCAAAGTATCCCCACCTCTCTATACAATTAAAGATAAAAAAGGAAAAATCCAGGTGGTACATCATGATAGATTGAGAAATTTTGTTGAAAGAGAGAGTGATTTTCAGTTGAATGAACCACAATTGGTGGAACCAATTGTAAAAAGATCAAGATTTGGTAGACAAATTAAGATGCCATCTCATTTAAGAGATTTCGCCTTAGAATGATTATATTGATATATGTTTTGTTTATTAGTTAAGATATAATTGTATATAGATACTTCCTTAATTTTCGGCAGTGCTGAAATAAAAGGAACTTAATTTATTTATTTGTATTTTTTATTTTTTTTTAGACCATGGATGAATCAAACATATACAATATTCTCGCAGAGAAAGAGTATAATTGGTGCAGAAATTGGATCGAACAACCAAACACTCTGCTCAACATATCAATTAACAATATAATACCACAAAATTTACCACAGTCCAGAATGTCAATGTACATGGGAACTCTACTTAATGAAAGAGTGCTATTAGAGAAAGGAATGGATTGGATGATTGAAAATATCTATTCATATCAAAACAATATAACGAAAGAAGAATGTGTAGATATCATACTTTACTTGAGAGATAAATTGTATGGCTATTAAAAAAATAATAATAATAAATAAATCCATAATAAAGATATATTTAATAAAGTATATTATAGTTTGTACTTCCTATTATATTTCAGGTAATTTGATCAAAACAACAGTACAAGTTGGTATAGGTTTTTTAAATATTTGTTTGAATTTTGTTGTTGAGCATAATACATTGAGCACTGCATGAATAGGTTGATAGCTACTTTTGTCTTTTTTGGATTATGGTTATTAAAAAAAAAAAAAAATTAAATATTACCTAACACGGTTACACTGTTCAAACTAATATGTTGCAGTTTAGCATGTGTTTTGCATGTAATCGGATTAGAGGTTGTCAAGGTAATAATTCTTTTCTTTTTACACATTTTAATGATGGTATTTTATTTGGGGATTTGGTATAAAAGTAATATTTATACATAGTAAAGGCGGCGATGCTGTAATACTATGTTAGTAATTAATGAAATACTATGTTTATGATGTAATATTGTGTTAATAATGTAAAATTATGTTTATAATGTAATATGTTAATATTCATTTGAAAGAAAAAATCATTATCATGTATGTTCATTCAAGAAAATAAACCATTGTATAAGTTTATTTCAGATATGGATGATCTAGACATGCTAGATGAAGCCTGTTTTGTCCCGGATTATGATGACACCGATTTGGTGGAAGATCCTATTGTCCTAATTGGTGAAGAGGGGAAGGAAGTTATCCACTCAAATTGCAGAAGGAAGAAACAGAGGAAAGAAGTTCAGTGTGGTTTGTGTCTGGTGTCCAGTGCTGACCTGAGTAGACATCTTGGACGTCATGTGAAATCTGTTCATTTGCCATGGTATATGACTCCAGGATCGGTGTGCTGGTATTGCAGATCGATGGAGAAGGACAATACGCTTTTGCGTAAACGTCATGGTGATGATCATTCGTATGGAACTGGTGAATTCGAGGAAAAACTGTGGATCCAATTGGTGAATGGATTTATACATTTCCTGATATTAACATTAAATATGAGAAATATATGGGAACTGATGGACTATGTGAAAAGTGAAGGACTAGTAATGTTGCCAGATAACTGTTCCAAGGAGGACATTGACTTTGTAAAAATATGCATTTATGGAAATGGTATGGAGCCTAAGACTGAGATTCTGAATTCTTTGTTGACTTTGTTTCACTGGAAAACTTTGTATCATCTGTTACAAAAACTTTCATCAGAGGATCGTGAACTCAGTGGTCATTGGTATCGGCGGATGGAATTTACTTTGCTATATGGATAAAAAATGAACTATATAATGATTTGACATTTCACATTGACATTGTTATCATTACTAATGTTGTTTTGAGCAACTTTGAGTTAAAATCACTTTGTTTGCTTTTAAAGTTGATTTAAAGTGATAATGGATTTAAAACTTTGTTTTGCATTCCTAAGGATGAACATTTATGCTGAGAGATGGACTTGATTGACTTTACTTGTGTTAAAGTTAAATGTTGAATCTTGGCATAACAAGAATGAACTTAATTGCATTACTTGCTCATTTTAAAGGTAAAGTACGATTACATTTGTTAAATTATAGTAATTGTTAGTTTAACAATTTAAAGTAATGGTTTATATTGTAATAATAGGGGGGAGTTTTGTTCGTCAAAAGGGGGGAGAGTGTGACGATGTAGTGTGTTAGATGAGATTATTTTATATTGCTACCGGTAGATGTCTCTATAAGTAAAGTGTTGTCCGGTGTGCAAGTTTGAATCTCTCCGTGATTGGTAACTTAAAGGTAAAACTGTTCACTGTATAGTTGGTTCTGATTGGTAAACGTGTACTATCTGAACTTGTATATAAGGTCCGACTTGAAATAAATCGGTCTCTTTGTTGGGACTTTTGGCTCTAGCCTCTGTGTTCTTGGCTCTTTTGGTCCTCTTTGCGGCTCTCTGTGGCTCTTTACGGCTCTTAACTCTGAGATACCAGTAAGTACATTGTTATTTGTACCTTCATAAGGCACTCGGCCGTGAAGGCGTAACAGCATGACTGACGTTGGAAGGCAGCTTGATATCAATATGGAGAATATATAAGTACCTATGTTGATAACATCATATTATTGCTATTGTCTGTTATTTGGTACAATCATTTTTACAAGGCTTTTACTGGTTTCCTTCAAAGGGACAACAGTATTTAAATGAACAGTATAGGCCAATTCCGTTCATTATTGGAAAGTCTCCGAGGTTGGTAAGACAAAATTGAATGATGAGCACAAGAAAATGATAAGAATAGGAGCCATTGGAAAACAAAAAAGCGTTCAAAAAAGCTGTTCACCAACAGACTAAGTCCACGTCGTAGAAGTGAAATAGATGGAAATGTGATGATTATTTTTGTAGCTGATTTGAAGTAGCAATCTGTCCCCCAACAAAATGATTTAGTTCATGTAGAAGTGAATAGACAGAAACACGCTGATCATTTTTTTAAAAATGTTTTTGCAGCAGATTTGCAGTAGTAACCTATTCCCCAACAAAATAACTAAGTTCACGTAGTAGTATAGTGGTATTAATTAAGTTATTCATGAACATTTCTCTTGGATTATTGCCTATCATTACGGCACGAATGTTACATACCACCTTGCATGATATTAGGTAGTTATGCATAAAAAAAAGAATACAGAATATTTATATAGGCCAAATTGTATTATGGTGATGACATAGCAGTGATTGCGAAAGCCGTCGGACCACGGCCATATGCCGGCAAAAATTCTGTGGGCTGGTACATCCTTAAAACTCATCGGCCCACATGTCCGACGGACTAAAGTCTTATTTCTTAACAGGGAAAACTCGCCTCTTCAACTCGCCTCATCTGAATTTATCGTTAAGCTCTGTGCACGCACTAGATATTTTGTATCAAATACATGCCAGCCTGTCCATAAGATTTAGTGGGTGTGGTTTTTATCTGATTGGGTAGTACACCAGTAATTGACGTTTCTTTATCGATCACGCGGCAAACGAAAGTTACTCTCTCTCCAGGCAGAAGATCCTCGCTGTTGTTAATAAAGCGAATGCTGCTTGGAGAGTATGAAACCATGTGGTCATGTGACCGCAAGTACCTTCGCCGGCGCCATGTCCACGTCGAAGATCACCTCGTGGCTCGGTATTGTAGAGAAAAATAGTGAAAAAAAAAGCCCAAATACCACTAACATTAGCAGAAAATCTTTTTTTCAAGAGTATGATAAAACACGGAAACGGAGTTTTAACCCAAAATGGAAATTACGCGTGTACTGCATCCTTGGGTGTATTATGATGACGACGAGGACGCCATGATATGCACTAAATGTGCAAAGTTTTATGGCGCGGGAACATTGCAAAACTCATTTATATCTGGGTGCAAAAACTTTAAAACGAGTGCCCTCAAGGACCACGAAGTCAGCAAGTCACATATTTCAGCGCTTGCTACACTGTCAAACAGAGAGCCTGCGAGTTCCGCGGCAGTCGCAGGAAGTACGGCAGGCAAGGCTCTCCTAGCCCTGAAGTCGGCAGAACGAAGTCGTTTAGAAAGCATGGTAAGGGAGACAAATAATGTTTGTAGAGATTAATACTGTCTTGTGAAGTAGTTTAGTGGTTAAGTCATTGAAAGTTCTCAATTTATTTCATAGAACTTTACATTTAAACTTGACGTTTCACTTTTTTATTTTTTCATTTTTTTCCTTATTTACTGCTTCAAGGTCCGGAACGCCCATTATATTGCTAAAATGAATCGTCCGCTGACGGATTTTACTTCACTTGTCGTCTTGGATAGAGCCAAAGGCCTGGACACTGCAAACACATACAAGAACAACAGGGCCGCTCTCGGGTTCATCGAGGCCATTGCTGCTCAGGAGAAAAGCAGAATTGTCCAGAGTGTGAAAGAGGCTCCTTTTTTCAGTTTCATTATGGATGGCAGTAGTGATTTGACAGGTAAATCCATGTCTGAATATCCTGGATACCTTATCATTAGATGTTTTGCATGAATTTTTTATTTCTGTGAAATAGTATATATTATAAACTTCGTCTTTATAAGTTCACTCAAATGTAACTGGAGTTTTAATTTTTCATTCAGGAGATGAACAAGAGACAATATATATAAGGTTTACCAAAAATGGAGTTCCCAGTATGAAGTTTCTGTCCATAGATTCACCAAAGAGCACATGCGCTGCAGATCTGTATGACCATGTAAATCATGTTTTCATAAATAGTCAGATTGACAGTGAAATATTCAAAGGTAAATATTAAAATTAATTTAATATGTATATGATAGTAACGCTGAGAATCCAAATAAAGTGAACAAAAATACTCTGAGTGAAATGAATACCTAGTTCGAATTCATGTTTTCAACATTTGTAAATAATTTTTAATATCCAGGTGCTGCGGTATTATTTTTTTGTCTAGGTGTCACATAATGTATACGCTCAAGATTCTGCAGTGTACAGATTCTTGGATGATATTAATTTTCTGTTATTAATCATTATCTAGGTAAAATGGTAGGAATGGGATGTGACGGGGCCAGTAACATGTTAGGCAGTAAGTCTGGTTTGGCATCTCGTCTTCAGAGTGATAACCCAGAGCTTGTGACAGTGCACTGCCTGTGCCACAGGTTGGAGTTGGCCATGAAGGATGTGACAAAAGTTCATTGTAAAAAGCTCTACGATAGAGTGATGACAGTGATGATAGGACTTCATTACTTCTACAAGAAATCCCACAAGAACAAGAAGGGCCTGCAGAGAGCATGGGATACTTTGAAGATCCAGGTATTTGTGGATATTTTACACTATTGCATGTACCTTTTCATCATTTCCAGAAATTTCTACACTTGTAATAATAATTTTCTTCTCTCAATTTTTCTGGATTATTTTTAATNTGAGGTGATCCTGTCAGCCCAAGGGTGGCAGACTGAGGTGATCCTGTCAGCCCAAGGGTGGCAGACTGAGGTGATCCTGTCAGCCCAAGGGTGGCAGACTGAGGTGCAGCAGGCACAAATCAAGAGCGCCATTGATATCAAGTACACGTCTAGCGATTAAGAGTGTGATGAAGGATTTGTCACACACACCCCATCCTGGCAAAGTGACAAATTTGCCCAGGTTAAATGTACCTTAGACAGGTGTTTTATTGAAAACAGCTCACACAAGAGCAGAAGGTTGCTGCAAAATAGGAAGATTGGAGCAACTCGCATCAAATCTGTCCCTAACTGTCCAGGGCTCAACAATGAGGATTGCCCGATTGCCCAGGGCAAGTAGACATCGATGTCGGGTAAGTCCACTCACCTGAATGCTTGCCCAATCAGGCAAGTGTCAAAATAAAGTAAAAGCACAGATATTTAATTTCATAAAATTGTGAAATCTTCATAAATATCGTGAAATTTTCATAAATGTGGTTGTACAGGGAATGCTGATCTCCAAATTATAATCATGGTTCATTTTAATGAGTTGCTGCAGAGACTTGGGTGTGACCAGAACCAAGTTCTCAGGGAGTGGCCAGCACTTAAAGCTTTGGTAATGAACAGAGTGAATGTGAGGGGTAGACGTGATGTTGCACACATTCAGGATACATGGGCCATGTTGTTTACAGATGAAGAATTACAGAGAAGATTCAGTAACATCAGTATGGTAGTGGAATTTTTTTTAGTGACTGCCATGTCTTCAGCAGTCTGTGAACGTGGATTCAGTGCAGTGAAGAGAGTGAAAACAGATAAGCGGGAGAGTTTGGCCACCAGCATGTTTGATAACCTTCTTCTCATTTCCATTGAGGGTGAATCATATGAGGCATTTGATGCAGACAAGGTGTATGACAGGTGGCTGCATGGAGGCCAGAGACGCCGTCGCGTCAATGATGATTGTGATGGGTGACTCTTCTAGAAGCTGGGAAATTTGACAAGAAAGGATGACAATATTTGTACTCATTATTCTCTTTATATTCTGTATTGCAGATTTGAAGCATTTTCTCAGGCAATATCTCAGACATATCTAAGACTATCATTACATTTCAGATATTTCACAGAATAGAAACCCCAAACACCAGAATAAAATTGAAATGAAGAAAGACATAAACACTGTTTATTTTTTGCTTGGTAAAATTCGAGCAAGTGAGTTTCCAGTACGGGCAAGTATGGTAGAGCCCTACCAAAGCATAACAACATATATCCCACTAAAAAAAGATGTTAGCTCTGTTTCCCAAAACCTATCAGTGTTACCACCCTCTTTAAATCTTCTTCTGAAGTCAATAATCAAAAGCAAAAATGCTGACATCAGATGTGCTGCTATATATATTGGGCAGGCAATAATGAGCTCAGCATTCCCATATGCTTCCCCAACTAAAGTAACCTGCATACCGAAGGATTTCAAAATCAAATAAAATATCCCATGACCATTTTACTCAGGGAATGAGACCATAAAACTAAATGTTTGTGCTCAAGAAACAATGAAAATTACAGACTTAATAACATCTGTCCAAAGCTGGGGCATTATGGAGTCATGAACATACAGATCAGAGTTATGAGGCTATACTACTCTAACAGTAAAAATTGTAAAAACTTAACCTCAGGTTTTGTAAACAACTTTTATCATCAAAGTATGCAGGCAGAGGAGAGACTGGAAGAATTCTTGCTCACATAAAGTATAAAATACAATTAATAAAATTTTGGCTTAAAATATAACACTTGGATGATAACAACCTACTTAAACAAGCAAACCTACAGATGAATTACAATATTACAAATTACTCTCAACAAAAAGCTTGTCAAATCTGAAAGATGATTACTTCTCTATTCGAAACGGATTTGGAGATGTATGGTTAAAACAGAATCCTCACAAAAAATTCCTTAGCACATTCAAAAAACACATCATCAGTGGCTTCGTACAAAACTTGCACAGTTAACTTGTGGACAAATCTAAATCCAGCATCTACTGCCAATTCAAAAATACATTTAAAAAAGAAAAAATATCTGGACGTTGTTCAAGATGATGAAAAAAGAAAAAGCCTTAGTTGTTTTCACACAAACTCCACATTGAAACAGGCAGATGCACTAAAACCACTCCTGATGCACAAACACATTTACATTGCTGCTTTAATTTGATATACTCAGGAAATACTGTAGCATCATATCCAAACTGCTAACAATAACAAAACAACATCATAAAATAATCCAAGCATGCTGATTTTCTAGAGGAATTCAAAACAAAAATACAGTTTATCAGTTTTAGGGCAAACAACAGATGTGTCACAAAGTGCTGACTATGGCAATGACACTGAACAGACACAGTGATCAGAATATAGACAGACTGAAAGTGTCTGTATATAATAAATATGTGATAAAATTTGCAATTATAACTTAATGCACTCGCAATAACAGAGACCATTTATAACACATCATATCTGACCTGAAATATAAATTCACATCTAAACATTTTCAATGACCTCTTGGTCTCTTCAGCTATGGCATGTTGTCTACCACAATCTCACTGTATATGCTACCTCTACTAGTACTGTAAAAGTTTCCATGCATATGAGGAAAATTATTATAACACATCACAACTGAGCTGAAATATCAATTCACTTTTAAACATTTCCATTATGTCTATTCATCTTCAGTGACAGGGTATTGTCCAACACAATCTCCTTGCTTTATATACCCTGACTCTATAGTTTCCATACATATGGGGAAATTAATTCTTTGTGTTACCTGGAACCCACATTTGTTGTGTAATTGTACTGTTCCATATAACTGGCTCCACAGGATCTGCCGTGTTTGGAAGTCTTGTTCTGGGCGGCTCTGGCAGCACTCTCTCTCTCACTCAGAATAAAATTCACCTCTTGGTCTGCCAGCAGCTCTTTACACCATTCCAGAAGTGTATTTGCTAAAAACATAAATGAAATGAGTGTAACTGTTTGCAATGCAACTGGATCATCTCTGTAATATAGTGCAAACTATTATTAGGATACACTATTCATATACAGGATGCTTTTGTAAAATGCACAATATCATTTTTTTACCACCATGCTTGATATACATCTTGTTATTGCTCATATGTAATGAGATCAAATAAAAATATAAGTATTCATTTTATGTGTTTTGTGCACTTAATGACAATAAAACAAATTCACATTACAATTAAAGCAGTGATATATTAATTTTATTCATAATAATCCATGCTTTCTATATTGAAATAATCATTGGTGTTTGTGTCTCTACACAAAGGAAAGAGGAGAAACAAATTACCTATCCTTATTTGTATAAAAAACAACCACAAACATTTGTCTGCTATCTGCAAGAGGTCCAGTCACCTGTTTTCAATGGCTGTCCTGTCTCTGGCTGTTCATTCATCCTAAAACTTGCCACATCCCGTGTCTTGCACAACTGGGTGAGATGACAATGTTCCTGTTGCTGTCTTTTTATGTTTGCTTTTTATAAAATACATGTCCCCCATGTTCAGCCAGGTAAAGTCAGTTCACCTAGAAGACACCATGTTGTATGGAGACTGGGGCTGGAAAAAGAGAGAAGATTATATTAATGAAGTGACATATATTATCTTAATAAAAAGACAGAACCATGACAGTCCACAAGAGCCAGCAGAATATTTAACCTACAATATTCTGCCAAATGTCCACCTAATATGGCAGACATCAAAGTTGTGGTGACTGAACTGAAACAAGTTTTAAATGTCTTTTGGAGGCTGCTGGGCACAATTGTGACTGGTACAACTGTCACAATCTTAAACTGATCAAAGTTAAATAAACCAATTCTTTTGGAATTAGTGAAATTTGCACACAAATTGCCTAACACCTGTAAAAATCTGATATGTATATCAGTTAACTGTGCCTTGTTGAATTACATTTTGTAAGGAGTAACATAAGAAAAGTGAAAAAAAATTATTTAAATTTAAAGGAAGCACAAAATATGATAACTGGTTTGTTGATCTAATGAAAGAAGAAATTATCTATAGTAACAGGACTTGTAAAACAAAACCAAGCAATAATTTTGTGCACTACCTGCAAGAAGGTGTTTTTGGCATGGTGATGGGTGACGGTGGGCAATGACCACTGCTCCACCTTGGGTTGAATACATATCATCTGCTATGACCAGGTGCTGTGGGTCTCACTTGCCATGTGCTTCTTTCACACTCGTTCCCATTACCACATCATCCACCAGGTGGTGGCCCCAGTCAAGACGCACCTAATCGGCAGCCATTTATTGGATATAACATTCCTCCCAACCTTAATTTTTTTCTACAACATATAAACTTTAAAAAACAGTCTTTGCCAATCATTATCCTTGAATATTTCGAATCCTGAAGAATTTTCAGTTTTCATATTGTATAAAGTCACATCTTGAGTGCTATATGCTCAAGCTTTTCAGGACAGCGATCCGCCTTCATCCTGATTAAATATAAATCATCTCAGATTACTTTTTTTCAGGACAGCGATCTGCCTTCATCCTGATTAAATATAAATTATCTCAGATTCCTCTTTTTAAGGACAGCGATCCGCCTTCATCCTGATTTAATATTAATCATCTCAGATTACCTTTTTCAGGACAGCGATCCGCCTTCATCCTGATTAAATGTAAATTATCTCAGATTCCTTTTTTTTCAGGACAGTGATCCACCTTCATCCTGATTAAATATAAATTATCTCAGATTACTTTTTTCGGGACAGCAATCCGCCTTCATCCTGATTACACATAAATGATTGAACTGTCACTTTCATACATAATCTTTAAAGTAACCTGGCTTTCTGATTGTTCTTTTTGGTCTAGTGTAAATTGGTTCTTCAACTGTTTTTCTCTTGCTGTGGCATCTTCTCATCAACTGAATTCTCTGTATTTAATGCAATATCATCTAAATTTGGAATAATCTGTGCGTTTGTTGCTGCAATGTCACTTTTCACTGTAACATCACTAAGTTGCAATTCACATGCATCATCTTGTCTTCTCATCTCCTTTGTGTCTTCTTTCAAATACAAGTCTGCTGGAATTTTCATTACATCATCTGTTGTGTTTATGACATAGTTACACAGTTTGAATTGACTTGCATCATCTTGTCTTCTCATCTCCTTTGTGTCTTCTTTCAAATACAAGTCTGCTGGAATTTTCATTACATCATCTGTTGTGTTTATGACATAGTTACACAGTTTGAATTGACTTGCGTCTCTGCAGATTGTTCTTCTGTCTGTAACTCTTCTGGCAGTAACTTGAGAACCATGTATTTCCATGACGATATAGAAATCGGTTCATATGGTGTTGAGAGTTTGTTTCTTTTGTTCTGTTTAACTAAAACATAGTCACGTATAATGAGTGTATTCTCCCTCCAAGTTTGATTAGTATTGGGTCAGTGAGTGTTTTCTCTGCTATCTCACCGAGAATCGCTGCATTTTCAGATTTGACCATCCATCTGATCATCTTCTCTGTACTATGACCACCCATTTGTGGCAGTGGGTGTCTGGAGAGAATCTGGGTCTGCATCATTCTTTCCTGGCTCATATACCACTTCATAGTCAACATCTTGTAAGTCCATCACCCATTTCTCTATTCTCGGTGGTAATTTTGCTTTCGCTTTATTAAACATGGGTACTAATGGTTTGTGTGCTTCAATAATACTAAATTCTTCTCTCATGTCCCAGTATGGTTCAATGTCCTCATCTTTTCTGTATAGATTGCTGATTCCAATCTCCTGTTGAGATTCTCCCTCCAAGTTTGATTAGTGTTGGGTCAGTGAGGGTTTTCTCTGCTATCTCATTGAGAATCACTGCATTTTCAGATTTGACCACTCAAACTGTGTGCCTGAGCTGAACAAAAGAGAGAAACACTCATTATAAACATTCAACAGGCCTGTAGCCAGCTATTTCAAAAGTTTTTTTTCTCCTACAAAAAAATTGGACCTTTTACGGTTACCATGAAACCACTGTGTACCTAAATGAAAATTTTCCCAGAGGGCACCTTTTCCCGGCAAAAAGGACTGTTTGTTCGTACTCCCATCATGTCTAAACTGGCAGTGGTCCTGGGCAAAGTCAAACTTGGCAGCTTCCTCATATTCACAGAAATTTGTACTTTCAAAAAATTGCTAACATGCATTTGATGTTTTGCCATGACTTCATGTAATAAAAATCAAACTTAAAATTGTCATCATTTTATATTGGCAATTTAAGCTAAATTTAGAGGGACATTTGTTGCGACTTTGCATCTTAAGGGGCCCAACATGCCTCAAAATGTGTCACAACACTATATTCAATGCAGGAATGATGCAGTCCAGATGTAACATTGTAATAATGTGATGTTATACTTGGCTACATACTGGGATATGTATGAATTCCTAACATGCAAAGCCATTACTTCACTCCAGTTGGAGGGCTATGGCTAAATAGAGAGTTATAAAGATACCTGATAGGACGAAGTGAACACTGCAAAAATCCCCACAAATAACTTTTAAGGTAGGTATACAATCCGTTAGGGGCGCTACAGTAGTAACTATCCAGGGGCAGTGAAATGTAAAACTGATATCGGCCTGCTGACAGCTTGCCTATGGCACCCCTTTTTTTAAATTTCTCTTTGAGTGCCGCGTAAAAAAAAACTAATACAAGCACTTAACTAAATAAGCTGTAAATCAAAGAGTAAAATCTGATCACATGATTTTCCCGTGTTGCAGTCTTTGAGAAGTTTCAGTTCAGGGCGTTTGAAGTTTTGCCTCGCCAAAATGCTCAAAATGCTCAGTTAAGTACTGGTTGCAATTTTTTAAAAATATATAACAAATAAAGTTTATGAAATTTGCAATATTATGTAGAAAAATCATGAAAATTAAACCATGCGAAGTATAGTTTATTTGATGTGCAATATTTATAGTACATGATCTGCACAGAAACCATCCCAGCCGTGTGCTTGTGCGGTCGACAATTTGGGTTTGTTTCCGGGTCATTAGATTAACATACAGCCATAATTGCCCTAATTGGTCACAAGCAATTTGAGCTGCAGCTACAGCTGAGTGCTCACCGCTGGTCAGTAGTGACAGGTTTTAAGCTGAAGAGTGTGGACACTTTTGGTGAATTTTTACAGTTAAAAAACTTCAATATCTTTGTTGCTTGTAGGAATATTTTAAAAAATTCCAAGTGATTTCATCCAGTTTTTGCATTACCTTTCAGATGATATAAGTATTATAATTTTCTGATCAGTTTGAAAATTTTTCTGATATACCTATTTTAGGACAACATATAGAAACCCTATTGCTCCTTAACTCTGCTAGAACTTTTTTACGTTTTACCTCAGATATTTCCAGGAATCCAGATCTACTGAATAACACTTATAACGCTCCCTTTATCTATCCTCTAGCTCTTGTATCTGCAGCTCTCTCTCTCTCTTAAAAACCCCGCCCAACTGTCGCTTTCAATCCCAAGACTTCCGGTACCAGATCACTGCAACAAAGCACACTCGGCTGTCACCTTGGTTGGATAGTAAACGGTTGTCGTAAAATCGCTAAATGATATTAAAACCGGGTGCATAAACTTGAAAACCATCTAGGACAACCTTGGACTGTCACATTAATCCAATACAATGCAAAAATAAACTATAACAAGTGGTTAAAGCCTTCAAACCGAATGTCGTAAAGTCCCCATATACCTCCATAGAGACAATAAAATAGAAGAAGCTTGTGAAACAAGAAGCCACAATTTTAAACAGAATAATCGAAATAAAATACTGCCGGGCATCGGAGCGGCCTAAAACTTGGCACGCTTACCGCAAATACTGCAGGCTACATCATCCCGTCGCTCGTTTGTAAATTCCGTGCATCAATCAAACCGTAAATCAAAATTCCACCTCTGATGTTTATATCGGTCCTCTCTAACCTACCATTACGAAAAAGAAGCCATGCCATTGGACAATGCGACCTCTGCGGTTACGTCATTTCCTGAATTGGATTGTAGAGAGGCCGAATTCACAACCAGTTGATCCTAGGATCAGAATCAGATAACAAACCTCTTTTATGATAATTAACTGTTATGACTATAAATGAAAGTACATATTTTTCATTCAACAGCATCTTCCGTATCTTTACGAAAAAATATATATATTGAAAACGCATCTGTAAAGATTAACTTTGAAAGATGAAAAAAATGCCCGAGCTTTTGGCTTGTGAACCTTCTTCAGGTACCAAAACAAGAAAAAAACAAGCAAACTACCCGGTACAGGGATTCATATAAAAGGGACAATAAGTTAGAAGTGCGTGACAAAGGTTAACGTGTTGAAGATTACGTAATAATTAAACAAGACTAATATCCGTTGAGATATTCATTGTCTCTATAAAGTCCTTTTTTAAAGTGTTTATATTTTTATGAGCTTCTTCTCGACAATCCGTCTTTGTCTTGTGTCGCGTAGGCCTATGTGTCCTTTTAAAATGGTGACTGTTTGTACTGTGGTGGTTCTTGATGTGAGTTTTAAGGGCGTAAGACAGCTTTTTCCTATCGTTTACACTTTTAATTACTATTAGTTCTATTACTGTACATAGCTACCAATTATCTGCGCTTTAAGCTTGTACTTTTTATTACAGATACAAGCAAGGCAAGCAAAAAGTCTCTGGCAGTGAATTGTGAACTGTTGCTGCTACCACTCCGACATAAAGTAGATATTGCAAACATTGCAAACATATATATCGGCACATTAATCAATAAGATATCAGACAACTTTCATGGAAAATAAACTGAAATTAAAGCTGGATATTCTTTTATCTATTATCATTTCGCATTTACGTAAAATCTTGGCACGTAGGCCTACGTCTTCATCACCATCATACTTTAGTCGCAGTCCGAAGCGACGAAGTTCGAACAGTGCATATCAAAATCGTAAATAGGAGTTCTTACGTAGGAAACATCGCGCTAGAGAACGGGTTTAATTAAGGCATTCTTGTTAGCGGTATTGTCACTATTTTAGGGAATCATGAACAAATCTGGATGACTCTATCTATAAAAAAGCAATTGTTACCTAAAAATAAAAAAATTATTTCTCAGAATTAATACAAGAAAAATTAATGAAAAGAACAAAGGCAAAATAATTTTAAACTAAAAATGGAATCTGAACAACAAATACAGCTTCAAGCAAATAAAAATGAAAATAGAATATACACACCCTTGACTTACAATTAATTTTTAAAATAATGTCGGTACCTTGTCAATTTATGTCAGGACTACGTGAAAACGACATACACCCTCCCCTACACATACACTAAACACACACGCGCGCGCACGCACGCACACACAGGCTCGAAGAGGGGGAGAGCCAAATCCAATCACTGAAGTTGTACATCGGGTCACTATTTNGTCACATCCCCTCCCACCAATAGGCCTACGCCCCTTTTCTATTTCTAATAGTACCATACAAACTCAGCGTGTGTAGGAGTGTGAAAACTAAAGTAGATCAAAAGTTCACGGATAGGATATGCCATGTAAGGATTCATAGGGGAGATAGGTTATCTCCTTTTGCTCTTTTTTTTTTAACCTGTCAATTTTGAGAAGAAATACAGTGAATCGGTGTCTCTCATTGCACTTAGTCAAATTAAATTCAAATATGTAAAACATCTTTCCTTTATCACGTAATTCGTCAGATGTAATAAAATACAGCATTTCCCTAGAAAACCTTTATCCCCTCTTGTGAATGCAATGTGCCGTCTGCAGGGCTCAGCGTCTGCTACCACGCTGGATGCTTCGCGGTTCCCGGGAGCTGAACAGTTAATGCGGTCTGAAAAATTTTAGGGAGAGTCAGATGAAATAGAGAGGGACCGTGGCATCTATAAAGTTTTACATGATGAAGCTGGAGATTTGGGCTAGTTTTACTCTTTTCTTTCAAAGTTTGCAATATACTCTGACTTTCAGTACTCCCATGCAAGCAAAATATTTTGCTGGCATCTTGATACATCTCCCACTTGTGTCTCCCCCATAAAACGGTCCACACTAAAAAATCAATAATCGTATGGCAAATTTATACAGGCAATTGACCTACTTTTATACCCATGCAGCTATCAACGAGTTTTATGGCTGTGGAGTGAAAACGTGATACACGTCTGTGATATAAAATTTATTACTAATTACATAATTTACAAACAGTACATTTGGAATAAAGGTGTCCAGATTTGTGAGCAAAAGATGACATTGCTATTTGAAAATAATGAAAAAATTGGAGACAAGCCTAAATCAGAAAAAATGCATTTTTTCTCTTATATGCAAATTAGGTTCCTTGAAGTAATATAAGACTGGCCGGAAGTGATGTTCAGAGATTTGTAACGATGATGACCTTGATGGCCTTGATAATCTTAATGGTGATTCAAAATATTATCAGAGTTTTTAGTTGTCATCTGGTGAGAAAGAAATTTTCTGCACTAACACAATCATTCCACGAGTGAAAAATAATTAGTAAACGCGCCTCAGAGCTATTGGGCGAAAATCACACGCCACATTTCGTCATAATTATTTGATATAGGTAAAAAAACTGTGATTGAAAATGGATATCGGCAAAGCATTAAAATTTTGACAGCATTTCTGTTTATTTGTGTTCGACAAGGATGAATTAAATTAGAATACCCTCTCTCTCTTTTTATATGCGAATATAAAGGAGAAAGCCGAGCGAAAAAATAATGCGCATAACAATCAAAATATTCAGAAGTAAAAAAATTCAGAGTTTAAAATCTTGTTGGCCACTACAGTTCCTCTAAATAGAGGATCACATGCAAAATTTCAAGGCGACTTGTAGTCTTTTCAATTGATGTTGTAAAGTAAATGACTTACACTTTCACTAACTGCAGATAAAGATTATAACGGAATCAAACAAGTTAAAGGAAAGGGAGTTATTGAGTGTTGCGCGGACAGACAACTCACAACGTCAATAACAACAATAACAACAGCAACAATCTACACGCAATATGGTAACGTGCATATCGGTAACGCAGTGGCCGATTAAGAGGTTTCTGAAAAATATATCGCACCAATATTCCCCTCTTGAAATTAGAATTTTGTCTAACCTTTGTATATTTTTAATTGGAAAATCTACTTATTGATATTATTCCATTTTTTCATAGAAATTATTTTTCTTATAAAAAGTAAAGTGAAAGGGGAAAGATTAGAGGGAGAAAAAGAGCAACAATTGAACATACATATTTTCCCTCAAAATATCCTTTATTACAGTGAAATAATGAAGAACATACATACTATTGGCATGCATGTACCAAAAACAAAAAGACTTTCACTAGTATCTAAAAATGAAAATTAATATATCTTCATACATAAAGAACAATGCACCACCTCCAAAAGAATTAACAAAATTTCAAGTATGGCATTACAGTATGGACAGACCTCTATTCAAACAAATAAAAAATACATCAATAGAACAATTTTAAATATCTAATTTCCTTGATCTGAAAACAGTAAAGGAACGAATCTGACAAACTACACTGATATAATTTTATTTCCATTTCTTATTCTTTATTTCACAATACACGCTAACAGATTTACCATCATTTTAATATAAACAACTAACAAAATTGTTAAGATGCAGAAAATGTCAAAAGAACGTGTTTACATATGCAACTAAAAAAGCACTCCAAGAGCGCAGACCTCTGCCAAGTCAGCAAAGTCTCCACCCAATGCATTACACCCCTAAATTTTCATTCTATAATGATTAAGTTTTTTATTTTTGATTATTGATTGATTATTGATTGATTATTGATCCGGATCACCACCAAAAACTATTCATCTGTTCTTTGGTCCACTTCTGACAGTTCCTGAAAATTTCATCAAAATCGGCTTTTTGAGTTATGTGAATGACAGACAAACAGGGGTGAAAACATAACCTCCTTGGCAGAGGTTATTAGTTCAATAATGAGACGGTTAACATGCCAAAGAATTGAAAATAGCATAAGTGACAGCAATGTACAGACAAGGCTGTAAATAAAAATCATATTTAAGTGAATGTTGCAATGGTGTGGGACATATTTTCTTCCAGCCTTCTTAAAACTTTTATATTTGTACAACATTAATAAAATTTCCATCTGAAGACGTCTATACAAATGTCATATGACATACAGTTTAAAGCCAGAAGGAAAAAGCATTATTATGTCTTGTATACTGTGAAATTAAAATTTATCTTCTACCCTTTTCTGAACCAAGACAACAGTTCTTGGAATGTTGAGTACACCAAGGAAGCCAACACAGATATGTATTTCTAGGATAATGTATTAAAACAAACTGCAAAATGCCATTTTGGATTTTCATCTGGATTCTTAATCTCAACTCCTCTGTTACATTAACTAAGCTGTATCATTTCCCTCACATTTTTAAATACAACAAAAATATCATTATTACGGGTCAGATAATACTTGTCATGGAACTTTTTTGTTGGTTGTATTTGCCTTAGCACTTCTTTTAATTCAGTCCCTTAATCCAGTTAATATATGTGCTAACTACTATGTAATAATACAGTCTCATGGTTACGTCTTGCAATCTGTAAAACCTACAGATTAATCAAGATTTTAAAAATCTGTTAACTGATTTCTTATTGTTAAATTAGCAACAAATAAACCAAATATTGGTATGAGAGTTCTTTGAGGAATATTTTATGTGCAAGCATGAGGGCTAAAGTTTCTGCAAACAGAACATCAGCACAAACACTATATTCAAACAGGAGGACTGACTCTTTAACAGCGTAACATTTTATCTGGAATTATTTAGTAAACAGGAATTCCAATTCTTCATCAGAGTTGGAAAGCTGCACCCATACAAGAACAAATATTTTGTATGGGTTTAATATAACACTTCATAATAAAGTTCCATCATAACTACCAACATCTATTCTGCTTTGTGCGAGACATATTCTCTCTCGAATTTTGCTGCAACTGTGGAATGATCATCAAGAGTTTTTATACTCAAAAAATCTTTGGTCTCATAAATCTCTATTAGTGACTAAAACATCAGTGTTGTAATTGGTTTTCCGTTACTGATAGACAGAGTTCCTTATGTGGTATATGGACTGTGATCTCTGATGACTGGTTGTCTAATACTCCATTGGAGTGAGTGGGACTGGAGATGTCCTTTTTTATTTTCATGGATTTAGCAGGTTCTAATCGTGTTTTATTGTCATACACTGGGGTGGAGAAATTGGTTGGTTTGTTGTAGTCTTCGAAATTCTCCATTTTGTTGTACTTTGGTTCCATTGCATCCTACGAGAAAAAAGATGAACACTTTAGACCAATGAATAAAAAGAAAATTTAAAATAAAATATTTGCAGGCAATTTGTGAAAAAAGACAAAAGAACTAAACAAGAGAAATAATTCAATGAAAAAGTTACAGGACCACCATACAGCAATTTGACAAGAACAATTAAGACTGACATAAGATGAATATAGTCTTTGATACAAGATGTTAAAAGAAACTTACCACGAGACACAGTCACACCTGAATCCAGCGCCCCCTGGTGTGATGAGGCACAAGTGAGAGCAGCCACCATTGTTGTCCCTAAAATAGGTAAACCTGTAAACAATAACAACAACAAAGTACATGGTCATATTATATATCAAGAGGCATGTTTTTCATAGCTTCCATGTATTTTGGTATCCACAGATGTCATGACATACCTACACTGAAATATTCTACTGCAATCACTCAATTTCTAACATTCTGTAAGCACAAAATACTTAAATTTCTTTTAATTTATTTCACTTATTTTAATTTAATCTTTGAAAAATGAAATAATAAAATAAAAATTCACAAAGTGAACATATATTATCCAAAACTGAATATTTTCAGAGAACAGTTTCATTAGCTCTGTATGTATAAATTCACTTACTCCCTGATGATGGTGACTGACAGTCACAGAAATATTGGAGGTAATACCCACATATTTTACAAGCTCTTGATTAAAAGAAAAACAGTAAAATGAATATTTTCACTTTAATTTATATATGACTAAATAATCATCTCTTGGCAATGTGTACTTGTGAGCTTCTTCAATACTCAGATGGTTCCAGTCAGTCCAATATATCCAGTCTTCAAACACAGCAATGGCAAATATGTGGACTATTCTGACTTCTGATATGACCAATTAACTGTCTGTTGCTGCCATCAAGGTTGGCATACCTGAAATCTAATGTACATATGTATTTTAGATTTCATGTCATTTAATATATATTAAATGGAAAAAGAAAAGCTCCAAACCCGCAGTGAACTGTCTCCATTAGAAGAAAATCAACTTAACAACCTCCAGACCTGCTTGGCTGTAGTGCAGGTAATAACCTGTGACAGTACCATATACCAAATTATTTTGGTTACATTCCCCAACTGAAGATGTTATAAACAAAATAATACAATTTTATCAAAAAAAAAAAAGGGGGAAGGCATATTAAGCATATATAAACAAATATTAATTTAGCCACATTTTCCCAATCATAAAAATGAGTATTCCACGATATTATCCTAGAAAATAAATCTATAACTAAAATATGAGACTAACTCAATGTAATCCAGATGAACATCAGCCCACCACATCCCCCTGGTGACATAGTCAGTGGTCAAGGAATTAGGCCAGTCCAGTTTCTCCGTGATCACAGATGACCAGTTGGTGATGTCCACTCCCACGTACACCAGCAATGTAAAAGATATGACCCCAGTCTGTCCAGTAAATATATCTGGAATTAAATGCCTAACATGTCATACATATTTTAAATTAGTAATATAAATCAAAGGCTCAATATCTGAAAATAATATTTTTTCTAATTTAAGGTTTATTAAAAGACGTACGAAAGCAGAACTGAATAACTTCACTTAAAAGACAAGTAAATAGAGTATTTCAAAATAAATTTATCACAACAGAATTAATACAAAAATGGATATTTGAAATTGATTCAAAACTATAAGGCTTACAACTGCATCTTTTTAAAAGATCCAAGACCAATTGATTTATTGCCTGATATAAATAGAAAGTTAAAAGGATAACAACTGTTCACTTTGGCCAAAACAATAAATTTTCTTGGGGTAAATGACATTTTTCCCACACTTAACAATGCTGAATGAATACATATCTACAAAGTTAGTCATTGTTTTTTTTTTCTAAAAAGAGTTGTTTATACAATCTATTCATTGTGAAATATAGATCTCATACAAAGAGTTGTTATACCTTTAACTAGTCATCAATATAACCCCTTGATTCAAAAGGGCAAGATTAGAGTTGTAACCTTCAGTACTGAAAAAACAAACTGTAAAATTACAATAACAAAAACTACTATCAAGAAAAAAACCCTGCTACTTACTGTCTCTTCTTTTGCAGGTCCACCCATCAGCTGTCTCTAGGTAGCCATGGACACACTTATAGTGGAAAGAGCCCACAGTATTCTCACACAACTGGCTGCACACCCAGGGATCGAGTCTCTTCACATTCATTGATATCTGCAACAGAAATAAAAAATATCTTACTGAATGCTATTTGATGAAGCATCAAATGTATTTTGCACTTGATTTATGTGATGGCCAATGAATTCTGGCACACATATGTATGACTTCAGATGTGAAGAAAACTTGCCTCTGAACAGTATCTCTTTTAATTTTTCAAAATGTTCAAATACAAAGAAAATTGAGTTAATCAGAATTACCTAATATTATATTCTGAACTAACTCACTCCAGGGAATTATATCGGAGTGAATGGAAACAGTTGGGGTGTGACAATTTCAAGCAATATCATTGGTCCTTATCAATAGAGAGCTGATAACAAAAAAACCCTAAGTGTGTAAAGGCCACGTGATTTAACAGAGACGAGCAATAGCCAATCACAGAATACCTAACACAAATTATGTGCATGCGCGAGCACTAAGGAGGGAAATCTCTAGAAATGTACTTCTAAATTCCTGTTTAAGGAGAGTAGATGGGGAAACGAAGCAATAATATGGTACAGTGTATTAGACTCTCTGGACTATGTGAGTACAAAAACTTTTGTGTTTACACCACGTGTGAAGGTAAAATTTGACGTGTTTGCTACCCGTCGTGCTTACGGCCATTACTACGCCATCTTGGTCTTTGTTCGAACCCTAGCCGACCTTTGTTGTTCACAATGCCGTCAGATAATAAAAAACTCTATGCAGTGGCAGAGACATATAGCATTATTCCTGCAATGGTCAATGGCGCAACAAAGTACAAACAAATTCGCTGGGGCCTGCCATAAAAGCTTTAACTCACTACAGGATGCAGCACTATATCTGGACTCTTACGAGATTACCAACGGTCGAGTGTTTGTGGATGAAGATACCAACTTTAGCCTCCACGAATACAGTCCTAATTTATGTACTCTGTCAGAGCTTGAGAGGAACTCTGATTCCCTAGATCAGACCTACGATGACCTGGTCACATAAACCTGACCGGATTAGGTTCACTTCAACTTTAGATGATGGGGGAGCAGACCCTACTAGTAACGCTATGGATGAAATATCTAACCTTTGCTCTCTTTGTAATGAGGGAAGAAGATGAACACATGATACAATGCAATGTCTGTAAATTGTGGTTACACTACCAATACACTGAACTGCCAGCATACCAATTATCTATTCTTACACAATCAACAAGGAAATTCACTTGTATCTGTTGTGTTAAAGTTGACACTGAGATTGTAAAAGCCCTCAATGGAAGGTCAAATATAAACAAACAAGATAGATGTAACAATATCAACATGGCCACACAAACACTGGATTCATTCAACACCAGTCAACACCCACAGCCAACAAAAGAAAGCAGTAAGCCTAATTTTGTGCACATTGCAACACAGAGTGTAACACCCCATTTCCATAGATTAGATCGACCTACTTTAGATCGACCTAACTCCCTGGGGGTTCACGCTAAATAGCTGTCAGCCGGGCGGACACGAAAGTTAATTACCAGGCCCTTACAGCTTGTAGTAGGCAGGACAGACATTTGAGTCGGATTATCTGAAAGTAATCTAATGAGACTCCCTGTGGGGATAGATCGATCTAAAATCTATGGGAATAGAGCCTAACTGTACATTCCACCCACCAGCACTCCCAAACCATGTCTGAAATGACCACCTCAGGGTCCCAGACATCACCTCAACAAGAAGATGAAGGGCCTAACTCAACCAAAGATATTTGTATGTCGGCCCTACGCGACTTTGAAAACAGTGTTATCACCTAATTTCACAGCACTATGAAAAAAACATTGATCTCAAACTAAGACTGCTCCAAAAAGACCTTGAAAACACCACCAGGGAAAGAGACAAGCTTGCTTCTTAGAATGAGACGATGAACAAAGAATTGACACAAACATGAACAGCCCTCGAAAATTCTAAAAAGCTCCAAGAAAGATTAATCTACACAGCAACAACTACACTGCCTTCACACAGACGTAGAACAAACAGCTAAAGAGAAGAACAACAAATGGAAGGCAGAGAAAGGTGAGATCAGTAAAAAGCTTGAAGACTACCTGACCAAGTTGAGTGCCTTTGAAAGAAAAGATTGAAAAACTAGTAAGACAAGAAGCAGAACTGAGAAAAATGAATGACAATTAAGATGAAAAGTTATTGTAGACAAGCCCAGGCAGCCTTATCAATGGCTAATTTTAATCAGCAGTATAGTCAGAAAAATAACATTAAATTAAGTTCCTTGATTGGCCAGAATCCCCCAAAGAAGACTTGAGATCTGAATTATGCAAGATCCTCAAGGAGTGAGCAAATTTGAATGTGAACCGGCCCAGCTAACATCCTGGCCATACATCGGATTCCCGGACGAAATGGTGCTGCACTCCCAGTCATAGCCAGAATGGTCAACCAAGAGTCAAAGGTGGAAATAATCAGACATAAAAGGACACAGAAAGATGCATTCTACATGTACGACCACCTCACACCACTAAACGCTGAGCTTATTAAGCAAGTAAAAAAACACTAAAAGGTTGAATCAGCCTGGTATTTTAATGGAAAAGTGTTCGCACAGGACTCGAAAGGAAACAAGCATAAATTTGATATAAATGATGACATACAACAAAAGCTGAAGTAAAACTGTATACATATAACTGAACTGGAAAAACATTAGGTGGTTGATAACCATTAACTATATCTGTTACATAATTAAACTTTACTATAATCATTATATATTTCAGCAAATATTTTTTCTAATTTAAGATTTATTAAAAGATGTGAAGCAGAATAAATGAATATATTATCTCTTAACTTAAAGACAAGTAAATAGAGTATTTCAAAATATATTTATCACAGCAGAATAAACACAGAAGTGGATATATGAATCAGATTCAAAACTATAAGGCTCACAATTGCATCTTTTTGAAAAATCCAAGACCTATTGATTTGCCTGATATGAACAGAAACTTAACTAGTCGTCAATATAACCCCTTGATTCAAAAGGGTGACACTCCAGTTGTAACCTTCAGTACTGGAAAAACAAACTGTAAAATTACAATAACAAAAACTACCATCAAGAAAAAACCCTGCTACTTACTGTCTCTTCTTTTGCAGGTCCACCCATCAGCTGTCTCTAGGTAGCCATGGACACACTTACAGAGAAAGAGCCCACAGTATTCTCACACAACTGGCTGCACACCCAGGGAGTCTCTTCACATTCATTGATATCTGCAACAGAAATAAAAATACCTTACTGAATGGCATTTGAAAACAGCATCAAATGTAATTTCCACTTATTTTGTGTGATGGCCAATGTATTCTCGCACATATATGTATGGCTTTAGAGGTGAAGAAAATTAGTTAAAAATGTTAATAATTTTGTCAAATCTAGTCCAATAACAGCAATAAAAATCTGTGATAAGCTGATCAGTTGTCTGTGTCTAATGAAAAGCATTTTCTTTGTACAATATATTTGAGAAATCTGAAAATTACACTGAAAACACTGGCAAATTCCATAACTTAAAATAGTTAAACGTTAATACTTTTGACAAATCTTTTCCAATATTTCTGAAATTTTTACAAATGATGCTTAACAACAATAAAAATCTGTGATAATCTGGAAAAAGAACAATAAAACTGCAAAAACTGAAAATAACATCGAAAAGACTGGCAAATCTCATGACTTAAAATAGTTAAATGTTAATAATTTTGTCAAATCTTGTCAAATATTTCTGAAATAAAAAGTATTTTCTTTGTATGATATATTTGAGAAATCTGAAAATTACACTGAAAGCACAGGCAAATTCCACGACATAAAATAGTTAAATTTGAATAATTTTGACAATAATCTTGTCCAATGTTTCTGAAACCTATAAATATGATGCTTAACAACAATAAAATTCTGTGATAAGCTGATCAGTTGTCTGTGTCTTTTATTAAGTGTCTGGTTTACTGGAAACTGATAATCATGCAGAAGTGTGAGAATTAACCAAAACAAATATTTCAATATTGCAATGTATTATTTACTCTCAAAGAAAACAGCAAATGTGATGATTTGAGGTTGTTTGTGTAGGAGGTTGCAAATTACCTATAACTGTTATCTGAAAAACAATATATACCCNCTTACTATCAATGCCAGATGCAGATTACTCCTTACAATGGGTTTCTGGAATGGGTTGTTGTTATCACAACATTTGACAATGTCCTAAATCTTGCCACATATCATGTATTGTACACATGGATAAGACATAGTGCTGCTCTTGGTGCTGTCTTTCGCTGCCTGCTTCTTCATGGTAAGGGTACTCTGGAAAAAGAACAATACAACGGAAAAAACTGAAAATTACATTGAAAAGACTGGGAAATTCCATATCTGAAAATAGTTAAACATTAATTATTTTGTCAAATCTTGTTCAAAATTTCTGAAATTTTTACAAATGATGCTTAACAACAATATAAATCTGTGATAAGCTGATCAGTTGACTGTGTATAATGCAAAGTATTTTCTTCAAAGGATATATTTGAGAAATCTGAAAATTACACTGAGAACAATAGCAAATTCCATGACTTGAAATAGTTAAATGTTAACAATTTTGACAAATCTAGTTCAATATTTCTGAAATTTGTACAAATGATGCTTAACAACAATATAAATCTGTGATAAGCTGATCAGTTGACTGTGTATAATGAAAAGTATTTTCTTCAAACGATATATTTGAGAAATCTGAAAATTACACTGAAAACACTGGCAAATTCCATGACTTGAAATAGTTAAATGTTAACAATTTTGACAAATCTTGTTCAATATTTCTGAAATCTGTACAAATGATGCTTAAGAATAATAAAAATCTGTGATATGCTGATCACTTGTCTGCGACTTTTTTTTAAGTGTCAAGTTTATTGGAAATTGATAATCAGAAGTGTGAGAATTAACCAAAACAAATATTTCAATATTGCAATGTATTATTTACCCTCAAAGAAAACAGCAAATGTGATGATTTGAGGTTGTTTGTGTAGGAGGTTGCAAATTACCTATAACTGTCATCTGGAAAACAATATATGCCCATACAAGACATCTTGTCGATATGCGGTTCAGAGAAAAAACGAGAGTTGAAAAAACTACACGTTTATTATCTACAGAGACTGATCAAAAACTACCCACTCAATGAGCAGGGCGTGAATATATACAAAGTAGGCAATAGGAGGCGGAGCTAAAACTAAACCCATGTCCACTACAGACATTGACATATGAGCTTTAAAATACGTTACTACAACTGATAGTGCGCTTCGTTTGCATGGACATGCTTTTTCTATACGTTCCAACATTCTCCGGGGGCAACAAGTTGTAAAAGTAAACATGAAAGCATTAAGTGTTTTAAAATAAGCAAGAAATCCAAATATTCCATTAAACGTAAGTCATATCAACAAGTCCTTGCGATGTATTAGTCAGTAAGTATACTGATTAATGTAAACATCTATGCAATAGATTGTCATTGAAACAAAAAACGAAGTCCATAGCAACGCTAATATTAGAAATATTCCAATAGTAATGTTAAATAATCCATTAATAAGCTTGATTAAATGTCTCAAACAGTTTCATTTGAACAGTCTAATAGTTCCATAAGTAATCAAAGTTCATTTTCATTTCAGTTCTTGAATCCATCTAGCGATGTTTTCTTTTGCTTGCTGGGCGGCGCGTCTCGTGTTACGGGCTGGTATGTTGACGTAGAGTGCCCCTGTAAAATCAACTCCAGTGACCGTAAACGGGGGAGCATCGTGAACTCTGAACGTTCGTAGAGGCGGAGCAACCGGAGAAGCATAGGGTCTGCCGATCAAGCGTCTGCATGTGACACATTTACGTAGGACGCGGTTGACAGTTTCACGTGCTCTGGGGATCCAAAATCTCTGCCTGATACTTGTTACAGTTGATTGCATGCCGGAATGTAGCGCTCGTTTGTGCGCGTCATTAATCACTAACAAAGTGAATGGATGTTGCCGTGGTAATAGTATCGGGTGTTTTGCGTCGTAAGTGAAGGGTGCGTTTTGTAAGCGACCTGTAAGTCGTATAATGCCATTACTGTCTAAAAACAAAGAAAGTTGCTTAACAGTATTTGATTTAGATTTTCCTCCTTTCAATGAGTCAAGTTCTTGATAGAAAACTTTCTCTTGAACACACTTGATCCACATTTCTTCTGAATTAACGATTTCTTCTGCAGAAGGCGAGGCGTTTGTAATTACGAAAGATGACGTCTTGTGTATTTTCCCCTTCATAACGGCAACAAATCTGAGCACCAATGCCGTAACGTTTAATAGTTTCGGAAGCGTGCCATGTCTGCCTATGTCGATCACCTTTGAAATGTCTGTTTTCGTTGTGAGCGGCTGATTTCCTCGCATTCTTTGGTTGTTGGCTTTGTCGGAAATATCAGTTTCAACGGAATGACCCTGAACTGCGGTCGTAGGGTCAATGACATTTGGATTGTTTTTAAAGAGTTGCTCATTCAACGAATCACTTGGGTTGAGTGGGGCAAACTCTGCCCGCTCCGTTCTCAAATGCATTACAGTACTGTTGTACTCTCCTATGGGCCAATCTCCATGTGCAAGCCAGGCGGGTCCTTCCCACCATATAGTTGCGATTTCTAGTGACGATACGGTCGTACCGCGTGTTATGAGATCGGCCGGGTTGTCATCCGTCGGACAATATCTGTATTCGTTGAACAACGACGGTTTGATTTCGTTGACACGATTTTNTACTATAATAGTAACTGGAAAAAATAAGATTATTTAAATTAAAATCTATTCTAAATTACATAAAGTTGTGCTTAATGCAAGACGGGTATAACCCCCGCAGGGGCACCCTATTAAATAAAAATAAATCGAACTAACTGGCGCTAGCTGTCTTGAAAAAATTTCAACGAGAGAATTGTAAGATTCGAATCGCCCCGACTTTGAGCTCTGCCCTATTTATAGACTCGCCTCGTTACGTCACCACTCGACGCGGTCAAAGGTCAGGGTCGTGACCTAACAGCATGGCCGCTCAGCATGGAAGTGTGGCCAGCCTGTGCATTAGAATTTTGGACTATTTTTACCCTTTTTATGGATTACAATGAAAGACTAAACTACGGAGTTCGTTTGGATAAACACTAGGACATAAGGCTCTGAGGAAAACGAAGTTTTTAGGTAGGATTAGTGAAAGATAACTAGAAAAAAATAAAAACAGGTTATAGCAGACGATCGTGCAGCCTGTGTTTACATTACGTCTAATAATTTCTTATAGCGGATTCGTAGCCTCACTGACCCCAATTGTTACAATATGTAAAATTCACTCATCTTGTCCGCAAGAGTTTTTAATGAGACTGTTCCAGGGTGGGTGGTATTAGTTGACTTCCCTAATATGTCGATATGCGGTTCAGAGAAAAAACGAGAGTTGAAAAACTACACGTTTATTATCTACAGTACAGAGACTGATCAAAAACTACCCACTCAATGAGCAGGGCGTGAATATATACAAAGTAGGCAATAGGAGGCGGAGCTAAAACTAAATCCATGTCCACTACAGACATTGACATACGAGCTTTAAAATACGTTACTACAACTGATAGTGCGCTTCGTTTGCATGGACATGCCTTTTCTATACGTTCCAACATTCTCCGGGGGCAACAAGTTGTAAAAGTGAACATGAAAGCATTAATTCTGTTAAAATAAGCAAGAAATCCAAGAAGTTCATTAAACTCGAGTCATATCAACAAGTTCTTGCGGTGTACTAGTCAGTAAGTACTGATAAATGTAAACATTTGTGTAATAGATTGTCATTGAAACAAAAAACGAAGTCCAAAGCAACGTTAATTAGAAATAGTCCAATAGTAAGGTTAAATAATCCATTAATGCGCTTGATTAAATGTTTCAAACAGTTTCATTTAACAGTCTAATAGTTCCATAAGTAATCAAAGTTCATTTTCATTTCAATTCTTGAATCCATCTAGCGATGTTTTCCTTTGCTTGCTGGGCGGCGCGTCTCGTGTTACGGGCTGGTATTTTGATGTTTTCATCAGTAATTTCTTTGGACAGTGTGACTTCTCTCAGGTCAGGGGCAGTGTCATAATCAACGGAAATTTCGAGAGGATAAAGTTTCGTAATAGGGCGATTTGTTGTTCCATACTTAGTTTTCAATGTTGCTGATCGCACTATTCCCTCATTGCCGTAGCTCAGTTTTGTAATTAGTCCCAAATCCCACAAAAGTCTAGGTTTTATATCCTCATGAATAAGTACTACGTCTCCAACTTGAACAATATTTTGTTTAACCCCATTCATATTGTCCCTTTCCCTTAGTGCAGTGAGATATTCGGAGGTCCATCTTTGCGTGAAATGTGCATTGACCTCCTGCACATGTTTCAATCGTTTTGTCAAGTGTTCTTTGGAGATTTTGCCATCTAGTGCGAACGTCGGATCCAATCTTTCATCCTCATCTGTCAGTTTGCAAGGTAGTGTGTTGATTCGACGTCCGTTCAAAAGCATTGATGGTGTAAGAGGTTCACCCTCATTAACGTAGGTAATGGGGCGGTCATTCAGTGTTGCTTCTATTTCCGATGTTATGGTATGCAATTCGTCTAGCATGATGCGAGCGCGTCCTAGTGTTTTTCTCATTGCATTCTTCGTGAGACCAATTAATCTTTCCCAAAAGCCACCAAACAACGGTGCTCTTTTAGGAATGAATTCCCACTTCACTCTATTTTGACTTAGATATCGACGTACATCTTCATTTTCGAAAAGTTTATTGATTTCATTGGCGGCTGAATAATAAGTTGTTGCGTTGTCACTAATCATTTTCGTAGGAAGTGATCTTCTGGCAGCGAATCTTCGAAATGCATTCATAAATGAAGATGTAGATAAGTCATTCACAACTTCCAGGTGGACGGCGTGAGTAGCGGAGCAAGTAAATAAACATATGTAGGCTTTCGCTTCACAATTCGCGGACGTTTTGACGTAGAGTGCCCCTGTAAAATCAACTCAAGTGACCATAAACGGGGGAGCATCGTGAACTCTGAACGTTCGTAGTGGCGGAGCAACCGGAGAAGCATAGGGTCTGCCGGTCAAGCGTCTGCATGTGACACATTTACGTAGGACGCGGTTGACAGTTTCACGTGCTCTGGGGATCCAAAATCTCTGCCTGATA